ATCACATTACAGCAAAGATATGTGTATCAGAATGTTTATTGCAGCCCAATTCATAATTGCTAGGTCATGGAAGAAGCCCAAGTGCCCATCAATCCACGAATGGATCAATAAACTGTGGTATATTTGTACCATGGAATATTATGCAGCCCTAAAAAAGACGGACACTTTACCTCCTTCATGTTTACATGGATGGAGCCGGAAAATGTTCTTCTTAGCAAAGTATATCTAGAATGGAAGAAAAAGTATCCAATGTACTCAGCCCTATTATGAAATTAATTTATAGCTTTCATATGAAAGCTATAACCTAATTATATATAGCCTAAGAATATAGGGGGGTGAGGGGAGGGGAGAGGAGGGAAAAGGGGTGGAGGGGTAGAGGGAGGGTGATTGGTGGGATCACCTCTATGGTTTATTTTACAAGGGTACAAGTGAATCTTTCTAAAAGTAGAACATAAACGTCTTAACACAATAACTAAGAAAATGACATGAAGGCTATGTTAACCAGTTTGACGAAAATATTTCAAATTGTATATGAAAATACCACACTGTACCCCATGATTGCATTAATGTACACAGCTATGATTTAATAATAAAAAATCCCACTTATTTTATATTCCTATTCCTGATCTCTTCCAAAGTGCCAGTATGAATGTACAGCCTCCCAGTAGACTTGGCAGACCTAGCAAGGCCCCAGGTCGGGGGCAGCTCTCCAGCAAACCTGCTCCATCTCATGGTCCCTCACTTTGCTCATGGTACCATCATTTTCTCCAGTTTTTAAGGTTGACGTCATTCTTAACTCCTCTCCTCTTGCAATCCTTATCCAATCCATCAACAAGTTTTGTCAGCTAAATTTTATTCTGAATGCAACCATTTCTCATCACTCTCTCCCCTGTCACTGAAATCCAAGACAAACCACTGTCCTGTCACTCTCCTCTCCCCTGTTGTCTACCCTAAACATAGCGGCTAGAATTGGAATAAGACACATGATTGTGTTAGCTTCCTGCCTGAAGCCCTCCCCCAACAGCTTCAAACAACATCCAGAGTCTTCATCAGGGCCTATGAGGCCTCCCATGATCCCTGATGTTAACATCTAACAAAACCATGGCTTTGACCAAGAAGCTAACACAGGTGCGATACTGTTAACTAAACTACAGAATTCATTTAGATCTTACCAGTTTTCTGCTAATGTCCATTTTATATCCTGGATCCAAAGCAGGATCCCACATTGCATTAGTTATCATGTCTCCTGGCATCTAGTCTGGGTTAGTTTCTCAGGGCTTTTTTTTCATCATCTCCACCTTGACAGTTTTAAACAGCATTGGCTGGTTATTCTTCAATGTGATGGGAAGCAAAATGGAACTTAGTAGCTCTTGAAAATTCCATTTCAGAAAGCCCACTGAGAATCTTACTAGAGCTCACCTGCTGTGGATTCCTATGTGAGTAAGTTTCTGATCTCACCACCAGAAGATTGTGGGGACTAAAGACATCAGGAGGGTAAGGACTGAAAGCTAAGAAGCCTTCTTCCAGAAGCCACCAGCAGATTTCCCATCAAGTCTTATAGGTCATAATTCTACACCAGGGCCACAGAAATGGAACTGCTATGAAGAGCTTAGTTTAATGAAGATCCACTCTGGTTGAGGTGGGATTAGGACTTCTTCTCTGAGTCATGGCTTCCAGAAAGAAGAGAAACCAGCAAACAAGAGGTGAGTAGAGGGGCATCAGGGATGCAGATGGGATAGGAAATGTGTTTGGTAGACAATAAGCAGTAGCTGTTATGGAGTCTATGTATTCTGTGCATAGGTGAAGTTCAGACAGGGCCTGGCCTCCTGGGGTTAGAGCACATTAGAAGTGCTTATCAAAGATGCCTGGTGTGGATAAAAAATACTGTGATAGAGCCAGTGTGGTGGCTCCCAGCTACTCAGGAGGCTGAGGCAGGAAAATCCCTTGAGCCCAGGAATTTGCACCCAGCCTGAGCAACATAGTAAGGCCTTGTCTCTATTTTTTTTTTTATATTGTGATATATTCATACAATGAAATAGTACATGTTAATAAAAATGAATGTACCGCTGATACGTGCAACATGATGGAAGAATCTAAAAGACATCTGTCAAGTAAAGAACCCTGACACCAAAGACCACGTGCTATATGATCCTATTTACAGGACATTCTAGAAAAGGCAAAACCATTGGGACAGAAAACAAATTAGTAGTTGTAAGGACTGAGAGAAGAGGGAGGTGACTGGATTGAAAGGGGAACGAGGGAACATTTTGGGGGCAATGAAAATCATCTACAGATTGAAGAAAGAACTACTCTTGGGTCTTGGGTGACGGTGTGAGAAGGGACAAAGGACATTCCAGGAACCCTTCATTTTCTACACGGGATGCAGTTCTGTTGTCTTGTGAAATGGGGTAATCTTCCCAGACTTTGGCTTGGACAAATGGCATGTTTTTATATATTTTTTTAATTAAAATTGTTTGTGTTTCAAGTGTACAAGATGATATACATAGTAAAATAACTACCTTCAAAATGAGTACTCCATCACTTACCATAGTTACCTCTGTGTGTGTGTGATTAAAGCACTTAAAATCTATTCTCTTAACAAATTTCTAGTGTACAATGCAATATTAATTATAGTCCTGATGTCGTACATTGGATTTGTAGATTTATTCATCCTTACATAATTACAACTTTGTACCCTCTGGCCTCCGTCTCCCCATTTCTGTCCCTCTCTCCACCCCTGATAACCGCTGTTATTATTTTTATTTCTATGTATTTGACATTTTTTAGATTCCACATACAAGTGAAATCACGTAGTATTTTTCTTTCTGTGTCTAGTTTATTTTATTTAGCATATAATGTCCTCCAGTCTCATCCATGTTGTCACAAAGGACAAAATCTCCTTTTTCATAGCTGAATAATATTCCATTGTATATGTGTGTGTGTGTGTGTATGTGTCTTTATATCTTGTAATATTTTTTTTATCCATTCCTCCATTGATGGACACTTATGCTGTTTCCATATCTTGACTATTGTGAAGAATGCTGCAATGAACATAGGATAGATACAGTGAACAATGATTTTATTTTCTTTGGGTATAAACCAGTAGAGAGATTGCTGGATCACATGATAGTTCTATTTTTAATTTTGGGGAAAAATTCATGTTGTTATGTATAATGGCTGTACCAATTTACATTCCCATCGACAGTATATAAGTGTTTCCTTTCTGCCACATTCTCTTTTTTTTTTTTTCATGTAGGAGCTCTAAATCAAACATTTTATTCAACTTTTTCGGATGAGGAAAACAAATGATATAAATAAGTCGTCTCAAACCATTTTCAATGTTTTACAAAATGCTCACATAGCAAATACAAAAAGCTTCACCACATTCTTCTTTCATTAACTTCTGCTGCAATAAACACAACATTGACAAATATACAAATTTCTTCTGTATCTAACATAGGAGTTGAATTACTGAATTACTAATTCTTATGATGTTACTCGTACATATTTTATTCATACATTTTTAATGAGATTATTGCCAATATATTCATTATTTTATTTTTACATTAAGCCAAGTCTATCATGCAGCCTTCAAAAACCTTACAGTCCATTACACAGGTTTGTAGCCTAATTTAGACTCCAGCTTCTTAGAATCAGCCACTTTCCTGACTGCTTTCATGAAGTCTTCCTGTACTACAAAATCATGATCAGCACGAATTGCAAACATACCTGCCTCAGGACAAACATTTCTCAGGTCTGCCCCATTGAAGCCATCTGAAAGCGTCACAATTGCTTCATAATCTATTTCTCCATGCTTTGTAATGGGACCTGCATGGATTTTCAATATGTCTAATCTTGCTTGTTCATTTGGCAAATCAATATGTATTTTTCTATCTAATCTTCCTGGATGTAGTAAAGCAAGATGCAGTGTATGTGGTCTCTTTGTAGCCATGATCATTTTAACGCTAGGCAGAGTATCAAATCCAGCCATTTGATTCAGTAACTCCATTAAAGTTCTCTGAATTTCTCTGTCAGCTGAAGTACCCTCAGAAAACCGACTATCACCAATAGCATCTACTTCATCCATAAAAATGATTCACGGCTGATGGTCCCTGGCATAATTAAACATTTCTCTGATCAAACAAGCACTTTCACCAATGTACTTATCTACAATAGGACTAGATACAACCTTTAAGAAATTACAGTCCAACTGGCTAGTAACAGTGCATGCCAAGAGTGTCTTCCCTGTGCCTGGTGTTCCATATAACAAATAGCCTTTTGGAGGTGTTATTCCTACACACTGAAATAATTCTGGGTTTGTAAGAGGTAATTCTAGCTCCTCTCTTAATTTCCGGATCTGTTTTGATAATCTTCCAATCTCAGAATAAGAAACATTCCCCAGGTCTTCTTGAGACATGTTGTAAACTAGGTGATCCACCTCTCTGGGCAAATGTCTTGTGACGGTTAGGGTCATCATATACAAAGCAACTCTTGTTTCTGGCTTCAGCTTACTTTTGTTAAGCTGTCTACAACAACCCACAGCATATCTTGGTCCATTTGTAGCTTTAACAATGAATTTTTCTTTAGTTAATTATTTAAGCACTTCACCCACAATCTGCCCAACACTTTGTAGGGCCTTCAGATCATTTTCGAACTTTTCATACTGTTTGGTAAGTTATTTAATTGTTCCCTTAACTCCTTAAGATGGATTATTTTTGCTGTAATCCTGAAGCACTTTATCTCTAGGGTCTGCCATGATGAGAAGCCTTCTGCCACATTCTTGCTAATACTTTTTATTTTTTGTCTTTTTGATGATAGCCATTCTAATAGGCATGAGGTGATTATCTTATTGTGGTTTTGATTTGCATTTCTCTGATGATTAGTGATGTTAGCATTTTTTTTCATATAACAGTTGACCATTTTGATGTCTTCTTTGGAAAAATGTCTACTTAGGTCTTTGTTTTCTAATCATATTATTTTTTTTTGCTGTTGAGTTGTTTGAGTTCCTCATATATTTTGGATATTAACCTCTTATTAGATATGAGGTTTCCAAATATTTCCCTCCCATTCCATAGGTTGTGCTCTGTTGATTGTTTCCTTTGCTGGGCAGAAGGTTTTTAGTTCAATGTAGTCCCACTTGTTTGTTTTTGCTTTGTTGCCTAAGCTTTTGGTGTGATATTAAAAAAAATTATTTATTTCCTTGGTCAAGGTCAAGGAGATTTTCCCTTTTGTTTTCTTCTAGAAGTTTTACACTTTGAGGTCATATGTTTTTGTCTTTAATCCGTTTTGATTTGGCTTTTGTCTATAGTGTAAAATAGAGGTCTAATTTCATTCTGTTGTGTGTAGCTATCCAGTTTTGCCAGTACTATTTATTTAAGAGGTTTACTTTATCCATTGTATTTTTTTGGTACCCTTGTCAAAAATTAGTTGACTGTATATTATTAAGTTTATTTATAGGCTTTCTATTCTGTTCCATTGGTCCATGTGTCTGTTTTTTAGTTTTTATTTATTCCAGTACCATACTGTTTTGATTACTATACCTTACAAAATCTACACACAAAAACCAGTTGCACTTCTTTACACCAATGACAACCTATCCAAAATATAAATCAATAAAACAATTTCATTTATGATAGCATCAAGAATAATAAAATACTTAGAAATAAATTAAACCAGCTTGGCGCCCATAGCTCAGTGAGTAGGGCACCAGCCACATACATGGAAGGTAGCGGGTTCAAGCCCAGTCCAGGCCTGCTAAAACAATGAAAAATGCAACCAAAAAATAGCCTTGTGGTGGCATTACGGTGGGCACCAGCTACTCAGGAGGCTGAGGCAAGAGAATCACTTAAGCCCAAGAGTTTGTGGTTGCTGTGAGCTATGACGCCATGACACTCTACCAAGGGCAACACAGTGAGACTCTGTCTCAAAAAAAAGAAAGAAATTTAACCACAGGAGTGAGAGATCTATACACTGAAAACCATAAAACATTAATAAAACGATTTAAAGACACAAATAAATAGAAACATACTTCATGTTCATGAATTGGAAGAATTAATATTGTTAAAACATCCATAGAAGGTGATATACACATTCAATGTAATCACTATAAAAATTCCAATACTATTTTTCACAGAAATAGAAAAAAATTCTGAAATTCATATGGAAACACAAAAGACCTGGAATAGCCAAAGCAATTTTATGAAAGAAAACTAAGACATTTCGTTCTATGTTCTTTAGACTATCAATGAAGTGTTTAAAAACACAGGACTTAGAAGAGGGCTGAGAATATTTTATTTTATCAGCTCTGTGATCTGAGCTCTGTTCTTAATTACCCACTAAAGAACTTAAATTAATTAAAACATAATTCTCCTTAAGAAGAACATTTTCTCACGTCTTACAGGGTGTTATGCATTCAATTTTAATGTCCTTACTTTTCTGGGTTACCTGTGGTCTTATGTGACTGGGACTTTTGACAGGGCTTATAATGGACATATTTTGACTCAATAAAGGATTCTGCTTGTTGAAGTACATTCCCTGCCTATTTTATGTGGTCCTAACCAAACACACCTGTCACTGATTATAATTGACCATGAGCATCCCAGCATCTAGCAGAAGGGAGATAGAGGTGGGGTGAAGTACAGATATTTTTGGTTAAGGGGTCCACCCTTTGGGACATTTCATACATACATCTTCCTATTCTGTGACAATTCTGAGTATAAGATTCTGGAAGGCAGTGCATGAGAGAGTGTCTAGAAGGTGCCTCAGTGAAGAAGCTTGTTCCAAACAGTTGAGTGTGAACAGTATCCCATGGTTCTTTGGGGCCTGGCATAGGTTTTTAACAGCTCGTTATTGTTGATATAAATTTTCTCCCACGTGTATTGGTTGTAGACATATTAACACGTATCCCTGCCTCTTGATTATGAGCACTACGACATTGTAAATACGCATTTCAATCTGATATAACTATTTCTGAGTCTCAAAACCTAACCATGCTAGTAACATGATATGAACATGTTCATTCCTGGACACATGGTTTTTGAAACCAAGTGCTAATTCTGGAAAGAGAAAAAAAAAAACGCACTTCACTGTAATCAGCTTGCTTGCCATAGACCCCTGCTGAGAAGGAGATTATGCAATTTGTAGAAAGAAATGCTGGGCATTCTGTGAAAGAAGCATCTCATAGGCTGCGGTTCACAAATCCTTATTTAAAAGTAGCCTCTTGGATTCCGTCACTGGACATTTCAACTTAGCACATCTCAGTTGGGGTTTAAGAATCTTTATTGCCAACTTTTAATATGTATCCTGGGTGATACTGGTGCTGTGCCTTTGAGACACTTTTCTAAAGTATCTAATCAGGATATTTATTTTCTTTGAGTATTTCACACAAGTGACCCCAAGAGTGACCTTTTCTCTTTTTATTGCTAAAAGAGCAAAGAAAAGAGTCTTTAGCTCTCAAAAAAAGACTAGACATAAGAGCTGAGGAAAAGAAATTGTGGGTGTCTTTGAGGCAAAGTAGCATCAGCTGTCGATTGTCACAAATGCACAGTCCTAGATAATGAGCCTCATGGCCCAATACTCATTATCCTCTCCGAATCCACTCCCATAAATACACGCACCAAATGCACAGGCACAGTATTTTTCTGCATTGGCCTGTCAATGCCGTTATTGAATCTAAATTGCCAAATCATTTTTATTCTTCTGTTCAATTTGTCACCTGGTTTGAGAGCCACATCACAATCAATTCTATTACACACTTCCCTGCAACTCATCACTTGATAATAAAGTAATCAAAAGATTCAGGATTTTACTTATAAATGTATTTCATTTTATAGTTTGAATGAGTTTCAGGAAAGATCCTTATAGGCAGTGTGCCCTCAGTAAAGAATTGCTGAGTAAATTAATGAACGGTGGGGCCGAATCACATTATCATGCATATTCACAAAGTAATAGATCAAATCATATTTTCAGTACATCTAACACTGAGTTGATTCTTAAAGAAAATCCATGAAACTTGAAAAGTAAAGACAATTTTTTTTTTAATTTGGCAAGGAGAGCAATTTTACCTTAACGTATAATTAACATTTTAATCTTTTATTTTGAGACATTTTAAATTATAAAAAGTTGTAAAAATGGCTTGACGAGTTCCCTTCTACCCTTCATTCACATATGGGATTCTGTTTTACAGCTTCATACTTCAACGTGTATTTCTTAAAAATGAGAACACTCTTCTATATAAGTAAAATATAATCTCAACACCAGGAAAATACTACTGATTCAATGTAATCCATCTAATCCACAGAATCCACTGATTGTGCCATTAATGTCATTTATAGGTCTTTGATCTCACCCAAGATCACCTGCTAGATTTAGTTGTCTCATGTCTTTAGTCTCCTTCAGTCTGGAACAATCTTTACTTCCATAGTCTTGACATTTTTAAAGAGTATAGTCCAGTTACTTAATTTCCCCTCAACTTGCATTTCATCTGACGTTTCACCGTAACTTACATATTTATTCATAAAAAGTGATGGTGCTTTCTCAGTATATCAGGAGGGAGCAGAAGGTTGATTTGTTTCACCACTGGTTTTTATTTATATAAAATTGTACCTGTTGATTAAGATGGTTATTTCCCAAGTATTATAGCTGCAATGTTAATAAGTATGCTGTACTTAATAATTAAAAATGTATTAATGAGTGTTTTGAGAGACATATTTTGCGATTATGTAAATATCTTGTTCATCATCAAACTTTTACCCACCAATTTTAGCATCCATTGACGATTCTGGCCTCAGTTATTATGATGGTGGTTACCAAATGACGTTTTTCTAACTCTGCCTTTCCTTCTTTATCTATTCCTTGCATTCTGCTATAGAGTTCCTTTCTCTTCTCCTTTTCTCTCCCTTCTTTTTTCCTTTTTCTTTCTTTCTTTCTCCCTCCCTCCCTTCCTTTCCTTTTCTTTCTCTCCATTCTCTTCACTTCTCTTCCCTCCCCTTTCTTTCATCACTATGGACTTCTGGATTCTTACTTTACTCAAAGGTCTGTGGCTGTGATTACTTATTTTGATACTTAAATTGTCCTAGATTTGGCCATTAGGAACCCCGTCAAGCTGACTTGTATATTCTTCTGACATATCTCCATAATTCCTTAAGTACTTTCTTATTTCTTTCATAACAAATTATTCTGGTATCATCCACCACACCAAGGAGCCATGGATCCTTTTATGTACTTTTTATACAATTCACTGAAGGTACAGAGAACCAGGTTACGTTGATTGCTTGTGTCAGATAAAGACCCTCCCATAATAGTGTTCTGCTCCCAGCCATGGATCCTTATAGTAGAGGATGATATTTAGAAACTACCATCTGAGTGTTAGACATGTTCATTGCTACTGGGGTGCCATTGTTTTTAGGCCTTCTCAGTGTACAGAACTAGGAAATACATCAACACACACATTCACATATATGCTTCTATTTTTCTATCATCTTACTAAATTAAAAATGATTTCACACCATCATCTCCAATTTCAAGCCACATCACTGGGTTTTTCTCCTTTGTATATTCACAATTCCCTTCTCCAACAGTGAGAAACCTGGCTCCCAACATCCTTAATATATTTACTTGTTTGTTTAATTCATTAAGGAGGATGCAAACCAATATCTTGGCCATGCCAGCAATAAGTGTGGACGATATTAAATTGGTCATATTATCACTATATATAAAAATATGAATAAACATACATATATGTCTACACATGCATATATGTGAAATCAGATATTTTAATTTATTTTTGTTTATTTATTTATTTTTGAGACAGAGTTTCACTTGTTGCCCTCTGTAGAGTGCTGTAGTGTCACAGCTCACAGCAACCTCAAACTGTTGGACTTAAGTGATTCTCGTGGCTCAGCCTTCCAAGTAGCTGGGACTACAGGTGCCTGCCACAACACCCAGCTTTTTTTTTTTTTTTTGTGGTAGTTGTTATTGTTGTTTAGCCAGGTTCGAACCAGGCAGCCCAGGTGTATGTGGCTGGAGCCCTAACCACTGATCTATGGGCATGGAGCCCAATCAGACATTTTATATAATAAATTGTAACATAACACATAGATACATATTAAATCCCACACAATAGTAAAAATGTATCCCATATAATACATAAAATATAAACATATATATGTAAACATCTGATTTTGTGTATGTGTAGATTTTTAAGAGAAGTACACAGTAAGGTTTTTCTTCAGATGAGCCTGGAGCCTGTTGTTCATACTTTCATGTGGTGGTCCTATCCTCCCCTGCCTGATTTCAAGGAATTGCTGGCCTCAGATGTGCAGAGCTCCCCAAAGCGAAAGCCCAGCCACTCTCCCCCTTTCTCTCACTAAGCAGCCTATTTTCTAAGTGTAACAAACAGCTACAGGCATCTCCACAACACACTGAAGCCAAATGTTGAACCTGGGGAAGGAAAGATCTCATATTTCAACTTTAATAACTAACTGGGACATCTCTTGATATTTTACTTTACTCCCTGAGTTGGGGTGGCTTCTCTTGGTTTCAGGCTTCCCCCCCCCCCAGGTTCCCCTGGGGCCTTTTTCATGTACTAAGTCTCCATGGTACATTTGTCTGCTTGTGTCTTATTCCATTAGCCGGAGAGGATTGAGGGCAGGGACAGCTTCTTTTATTATCCATTGCTAAGGCTAGCAGAGGGTCTAACACAGAGCAGGTGCTAATTATTGTGTATTGGGTGAAAGAATGAATACAGCTATTAATCAATGTAAAATGGTGGGGAAAGATGCTTGCTGGGAAGGAGAATTTTAAATTTCAACTTCTGGACCCATAGGAAGGGAGAGAGTCCAGGCAATTACATATATATTTCAAGTTCTCTTTTTTCCTGGTGACATAATACAATTCAAGAATAAATCTCGAATTTATTCTTGATATTGGTACCACTAGAACCATCACTTGTGTCCTGTTCCCACCTGCACTTCCCGAATCTTTGGTTAAATGTCAAATTTCAACACGCTCGCATTCCAGGTCTCAGTGCGTTACCCTTTCTCATTTTCTGTTTTCAACTTTTTTCTTCTTCCAAGACTATTTGATAGTTATTTTTATCGAAAGTTCTCTTGTATTGTTCCAGACAAGAATAATCACACAACACTCCAAATACAGCGTGCGACGTACGTGTTGAATAAATAAAAATGACGAGGTTAGGAACAGTATCAGTGACGATCGTGGTGTCCCGTTTTGGTTTAGAGGGCGCCAGCTGCACGTCAGTGAGGGAGCCTGAAGCTACCGGGCACACACCACCCCGGGCCAGGACTCGCTAAGATAACCTTGACGCCACTAAAGTTTCCAGACCGGGCCAGCTGGGAATTGACGAAAGGAGCCTCCGCCCGGTTGAGTCAGTCTCCCAGTTTTCTCGGCTGTGGGTCAAGTGCTAGGAAGGAATTTCTATCTAGGCTTTGTTTCCCGGGCGCATCCCGTTCGGCACCTTCGCGGCGCTGGGAACAGGT